AGTCTTCTAACGAAAAAGAGACTTGTATTGGGTACTAATGTATAATTCCGGCTTTTCTATGTTCTTAGTTCAAGAGCAGTTCTGGATACAAACAGCACAGAGCCAAAATTTGGAAAGGCCGGTCTCTATGTTGGGAGACCCTTAATGGTTTGTTTTTGCTTTCATAGACTTTGACATTTACCCATCTGAAGTTGAAAGATGTGAACCTCTTTTATCTCCTTCTTGACCCCTTAAATTCCTCCTTTACCTGGTTTGGATTTTCATTTGGAGTCTTTGGTGAAGACCTGTTATGGTTATAATATGCCTGTGTCCCCTTTACTCTCTTTTGTCATGATCGTATGCATTGTTACATTGCTGAGAAGGTATGTAGCTGCTTGTGCAAGCACTGTTGCTTAGACAGGATGGAAAACAGGAATGGCATGGCCATGGTTGGAACATTATCCGGTGGCTCAGAACACTATATTTCACAGTGTATAGGTTGATGTGCTGTATAAGTCAACCCCATTTTTCTGATCCAAAAAATTAGGAATTTCATAGATCCAGTGTATAAGTCGACCCAACTTTTTGGATCAGAAATATGGGGTTCACTTGTACTGGCCCCTGTGTGCCCTCACTGCGGGCTGGGCACCCAAGGGGTGGGGAGAGGCACGTGCTGCAGCATTGCTCGCATGGGACGGGGCTGGGCTTGGTGCTCGGCTGGCGCGGCCCCATACCCTGCGAGCGGCAAGCCAGCTAAGTGCTGAACCTGGCCCTGTCTGTCTGTTGTGAGTGGCACTGCTGAGCACTGAGCCTAGCCCTGTCCCCTGAAAGTACTGGGCTTGGTACTCAGCTTGATACTCAGCTGGTGCAGCCCACGTAGCACCACTCGCAGTTGATGGGGCCATGCCAGTTGAGTGCCGAGCCTGACGCTGCTTGCATGGGATGGGGATGGAGACAGGGCAGGGCAGGGCTCGGCTGGCACGGCTCCATCCCCTGCGAGCAGTGCTGCTGAGCACTGAGCCAGCCATGCCAGCCAAGCCTGGCGCCGCTTGCAGGGAATGGGGCTGGACTTAGTGCTCAGCAGTGCCGCTCTCAGCAAACAGACAGGGCCAGGCTTGGTGCTCAGCTGGTGTGGCTCCATCCCCTGTGAGCGGTGCCAGGCTTGGTGCTTGGCTGGTGCTGCCCAGGCAGTGCCGCTTGCAGGGGATAGGGCTGTGCCAAGGAGCGCTGTGGCATGTGTCTACCCCCCAGTTGCCCAGCTTGCATTGAGGAAGTGCAAGAGCCAGTATAAGTCAAGCGCCAAGCCCAGCACCACTCGCAGGGGATGGTGATATGGTGTATAAGTTGAGGTTGAATTTTAAGAGTTAAAAATTGGGCTTCAAAACTTGACTTATACACTGTGAGATACGGTAACTGAAATTGTGATACCTGTAAAAGATGAGTGGTTCCAAACAAAAGAGTAATTAGTTGTATGAACATTAGTTTTATGGAGCTTAAGTGGATGAGATTTCCTAAATAATAAATATCATATAAAACAAAAAATAAAGGCTTACTGGAGGCCTTCTTTTTCAGGGCTATATAGTTGACCATTTTAAACCTACATTATTTAAGCTATGCAAAATATATATCTATAATAAACAGCTCTAGAATTTATGGAGTGGAGCTGAAAGGACATCAATATGCAAGGAGAGAGGCTGTGCAGCCCTCACAAGGCCTTTAAAGATTTATATTTTAAGTGAAGGAATGTATGCATCTCTGGGGTGGCACTTATTCCACTTCTTTACCCCCCTAAAGAAATCCATGAAATGTGACCCCAAATCTGTCCTCAGCCTGGTCATTCTGGGGCTGACTTTAGTGCTATCAGGACTGCCCCTGTGATATTTTATCTGACTTTTAAACAATTTTTCCCCCTCCGTGGGCTCCATTCACTTCCCACTGAAATCAGTGGTGAGATTGGTTCCAGAAGGATTTGGCTGTATGGAATCGGTCTATGGCAAGTGCAGTTAAAATGATTTATTGTGCCCATTTTTATGTGTGAAGTTTTTCATTTTCTAAAACCTGCAGTTTTGCTTCGTCTTCATGTTTGGTAGATAACAGCTGTAGATCTATGTTGATCTCTACACCGGGTACATTGCAAGCTCTACAGGCTTTGTGCATTGAGAATGAGCTTAACATCAACCTGGATGGAATACGCTTTTAAAGCCAAGAATGTGTTCAATATGTCAGTCTCTTAAACAAGACACAGCAAACGGCAACTAATCAGATATAAGTATTTTGATACAATGAGGAAAAATACCCTTTACTAAAACTGAGAAGAAGACATGTTTTCCTGATTGTTTTTAGGGAAAAAAGGATCATTAACTAGGTCATGAGTGAAGTTTCAAGAATTCAATAAAAGCTTGTTTCACAAGCAGCACGGAGGCTCCAAATCTGAGAGATTCAGTTTCATTGGGCTTTTATACATTTTACATTATTAATCATTGAAATTACTGCTTTTGGGGCCACTGTTGTGTTACATGTTTCCTTAATAGTATGTGCACTTTATGGTAAGACTTATGGCTTAATAGCTGCAAAAGAATAAGCACTGTTAATTAAAATAGTAACAATAACAGCAAGGCCAATGTCAGAAAGATTCTGGTTGCCTAAAAATGGCAAAATATTTTAAAAAATGAGAACTGGCAGAAAAATAATCACGGTTTAGCCAATTCACCTTTAAATCTGGCAGTTCTCTGGTTATAAATTATAATCACTGTAAGCAAGATCGATAAGAGAAGTTAGATCCTGCCCTTCAACGAGAAAAATATTTGGAGATGTGTCTAGAGATGGGCAAAACAAACACACTTAGATCTGAAACCAGTCACATTTCAGCGGAAAGAGGTATGGACCACCAAATGATACAAAATTTCACCAAATGAGCCTGACCCTGTAAGTTTTCCACAGTAGGAAACTCCTATTTTCTGACAATTTTGGTTTTTGATATTGCTGAATCTAAGTATTAGCCCTGATTCTGTCCGAAGCTCACATCCAGAGCCCTAATACATGCAGAATCTAGATGTGGACACCCTCTTTTAAACATACTCACAGCTTGCTCATTTATTACTTAAGAACCGAATATAATAGACATTCAAAACAATGAAAAGCTAAGCAATATATTGTAAAGATGAGAGGCAAAAAGCTTAAACAAAAGTAGTTCAGTGGATTTGTTAAAGGGTTATCAGAACTGTATCTTGTATATATAATAGTATTATAGACCTGGGCTCTTAAGGGCCATGTTTTACATGTTCCGGGTGTCGGGGGGGGGGAGGGCAGTGCTTTAATTAGAGGTGCTCTAATTAAAGCACTGCCATGTCTCGTGTATCAGCACCCCTGCACTTTAAAATAGCGGTGGAGGTGCTTGAACTTAAGCTCCTTCGATAAGCTTTCAGTTCAAGCACCCCGCCACCATGTTTAAGCACAGAGATGCTGATACACAAGATGTAGGAGAGTGCGGCACTTCATCAAGTCTGCTCCAATGTGCCGGTATTCTAGCATGTCGGAGCAGCCTCGGTGCTCGTGTATAGGCACCCCAAATGCTTCAATTATGGTGAAATGTTTACAGTGAAGCCTTTTGTAATAAGGATTTATCTTTTATTCCCCTTCTATACAGCACTCACATATTAGAGCTCCAAACTCAATTCGCTGTTACCATAACACAAATATTCATTGCTGATAATAATTACAGCCCCCCCGGCAACAAACAAATCTCCAAAATCAAAGCAATCAGGAATTGTATCTAACACCTGGAGTCGTCATTTCTAGATCCTAATCAAAATATAAAGAGTTGGAAAACAAAGACTTTCAGCTGTTAAGGGGGCCAATATGAGATTTAAACATGATTTTTTTTTTAACATCAAGCTGTTCCCTTCATAGTTTCATCTCTGCTTGCCCATGCAATTCTTATCTAAGTTACCAAAAGTGGTACCAATTTGCTGGACCTTTTACAATGGAAACCTACCGTTACCCTGGGTTCAATAGCTGCCATTGGTTCTCTCTCTAAGCCGTCCTACTCCAGAGAATACTAGTACCTGCTCACTGCACTGACCTTTTGGCATAGCTGCGTTCAATGGGATTTCTGTCTGTATGACTCTCTATTAAAATGGGGAGTAGCCATATAGCAGTATTCTCAAAATTTACTCACTTGTGGCTACCTCCTGATATAGGCCGATGGCTATCAACAGAAACAATAGTTTTAGAAATAAAAGTAGAAAAAGTAACAAGAAATTAAGAATGCCTTTGCTGTTCCCTTTTCCCTCATATAACACTTACAACCTTTTTAGAAATGTACCAATTAAAATATAGACCGGTCTGAAAACACCTTTATCGCTCAAGAA